GTCTTCCGCTATCCTGGGAAGGGGACTTAGGAATACATGTCCGTCTGTACATTTAACCTTGTATTTGTTTGTGTGTTCTAGAATCCCTCTCTGCGTCTGTTCGTGTTGTCCATCTATGCGTCAATCCCATGATTTCGTCAGTGCTCTTTACCTTTGTGTCTAAAAATTGTGAAAACGATTGCTCGAAAAGTTATACAACTCATCCTATCTTGTCACGTAGATCCACCATAACGAGAGTTCATCAATGACAACATGTGTGACTACCTTGATAATATTAAATGCTTAGACACTGTTACATCTTTAGGGAGGAAGTCATATAGATAAGAGGAATAAATGAGAGAGAGAGAGAGAGAGAGAGAGAGAGAGAGAGAGAGAGAGAGAGAGAGAGAGAGAGAGAGAGAGAGAGAGAGAGAGAGAGAGCATGGCATGAAAAGGTTTTCAGTTCTTTCACTTGTTTACTAAATATATAAATAACTAGATAAATAACTACTAATTAGCTAAATAAAGAACTACCTTAATAACTTATTAGTTGATTAACTGAATAGCGTATAACAAAAGCTTAGTTTAGTTATCGTTATAAAGGTCATCATTTTCTTTGGTTGTCTCGGTACAGAAAACAGACAACTTGACGAAAACTAAACTAAACTTGCCTTATATAGTTATTCAGTAGTGTCTTTAGTTATAAGAAAATGTATTCAGTTATTTAGTAATACAAGTATTATTTACTAATTTCTTTACTTAATAATTTAATAAGTCAATTAAATAAACAATTAAACATAAAATATGGCTCAAAGACAACAAATTATCCCTGCATCGCGGAAAGACTTGAAGCAATATTATCTACATCAATTAGAAAACTCAAGCAACACAGAGTTTTATCCTTTCTAATCTCAATTGGGGTTATGTAAAGTTCCATTACGCTTGGTGGGGGTTACATACGGTTAGGTTAGTTTACGTGATGCTTACTGGGGTTACGTAAGGCTTGATGAGTTTAGTCCCGTGGAGGTTTTTCAGACCCAAAAATAGATTATGCTGAAAATCTCAGTACGATATATGGCAGGTAGTCCTCGAGGTGCTTATTAAGGACCTGTGGACATGCAATGCTGAAGAACCTACACAGCCTATTGAATCTCCTCGCTCAACTCCACAAGCCTCGTCATATTTCAGTCAAGGTACAACAAGACCATTACATACACTTCTCATACCTCAACCCTCAACCCATGCTTAAATATATAAGGTGTCCAGAAAAATGTCCCTGCCTGCCTCCCTGCCTGCCTTGCCTGTTCCCTGAGACACTGAGAGTTGGAAGGAGGTAGGGGGAGGGAGGCAGGGCACAGGGAGGGAGCAGACAGGTATGGAGGGAAACAGAGACAGGCAGCGAACAGGCAGGGAGCAGACAGGTATGGAGGGAAACAGGGAGGGTGGGAGACAGGCAGCGAACAGGCAGGGAGCAAACAGGGAGGGTGGGAGACAGGCAGGGACATTTTTCTGGGACTTCTATATTCTTGTTTGTTCAGGTACAGATTTAACTTTCATTATCAGTACACTCAGCGCCAAGACCATATATATATACCGTGACATAATTACCCAAAACAATGTACGATATGACTTAAGAACATAAGAAAGTGGGATACTGCAGGAGGCCGACTGGCCCATACAGGGCAGATCCCTTTCACACCCATCCCAGCACTTCCATGTGCCTATCCAACTTCGTCTTGAAGCTCCCTAGCGTCCCCGATCCTACTATAGCACTCGGTAGCCTATTCCACATATCCACAACTCTATTACCAAACCAGTGCTTGCCTATATCCTTTCTGAATCGGAATTTATCTAATTTAAAGCCATTTGTTCTAGTTATTTCGTTATTACTGAGCCTCAGAACATCTTCCATTTTACCCTTGTTAATCCCACTTACCCACTTTGTACACCTCTCATCATATCTCCCCTAACTCTACACCTCTAATGAATGTAAGCCTAAGCTTTTCAGTCTTTTTCATATGGAAGGTTTCTAATATTATGGATCATTTTTGTCATTCTTCTTTGTACTCTCTCCAAAGAATCTATGTCCATTCTATAATAAGGACACCAGAACTGAACCGCATAATCCATGTGTGGCCTCACTAATGCTAGGTACAGTTTCAAGATAACGTCAGCAGTTCTGTTACTCACAGACCTAGATATGAACCCAAGAATCCTGTTTGCCTTGTTGCGAACGCTAATACATTGTTTTATAGGTTTCAAGTCGTTGCTAACAAATACACCTAGATCTTTTTCACAAACTGAGTTTTCTATTTCCGTGTTACCTAGTTTATACTTAACGTTTGTATTCGTCTTCCCTATCTGTAGTACCTTGCATTTATCAGTATTAAAATTCATTTGCCAGTCTACTGACCAATCATTTCCACTCGAAGTAAAACAAGAATTACAAAATATGATCTCAAATAAATTTCTCTGTTTGTTAAAGAGTAATGTAGACCATTGTGAAAGGCCACATAAGTTAATTACTCACAACCTCATACAGATCAGAAGGTTAATTACGTCTCGACCTTTACAGACTCTATAACTCACGTCACTAGAGATCTTTCCTTTACTTACCTCAACAAAAGTATGAAAAAAAAAACATTAAAAACGGCATAGGGCAACGATACGATCCCTGTCCTCACCCATAATGTTTTAATTTTTTTACGAAGAGATGTGTTGTGTATGGTAGTCCTGTTGATTGGTAGTAAAGGTGGTAATGTTTTTTGTTATTGTTGATGGTGGAAGAGAGGGTGATGGTGATGGTGGTGGGTGATGGTGGTAGAGAGGGTGATGGTGGTGGGTGATGGTGGTAGAGAGGGTGATGGTGGTGGGTGTTGGTTGTGGCAGGGTGGTGATGGTGGTACAGAGTAGGGCAAGGGGTCAGGATTTCAGAGCAGGGCAAGAGGTTGGGATTACAGGGCAGGGCAACAGATTTGGAGTTACAGAGCAGGACAGGGGGTTAGGGTACAGAGAAGGGCAACTGGTCGGGGTACAGGGCAGGGCAAGGGTTCGTGGTACAGGGCAGGGCAAGGGATCACGGTACAGAGTAGGGCAAGGGGTCAGGGTACAGAGCAGAGCAAGAGGTTGGAGTTACAGGGCAGGACAAGCATAAAGTGGAATTGTATAACTTTCTATGTAAACAATAACATTCACCCATTTAACTGAGTCATGGCAACAGAGGCACATGTTGTACAGCTTGTATAGCGAGGAGAGAACCACACAGTCGTACTTCCCAGAATGTTGATGATTGGTGTAATTACTAACCTAGTTTAACACTTAAAATATCTTAGTTGTTGAAGCACAGTTAACGGTATAGCAACAAAGGCGAATTGAACAACCTCCCCTTGTACACAGTTAGGTTTTCAGTCACCTGTTTGTTTTTTGTGGAATTAGCCCACCCGGGTACAAGTCAATGACCCACATCAGGGCCTGGGGGTGAAATAATAATAATAATAATAATAATAATAATAATAATAATAATAATAATAATAATAATAATAATAATAATAATAATAATAATAATAATAATAATAATAAATAAATGCAAAAATTTAAGAAAAAGATCAATAGTGAGCAACGATTTACATATGTTGTGATGTCAAGTAAGAGAAACAATTGAGACCCTGCAATTGTGTGTAAATGAGGCAGAAAGACAGATCAGCAACCTGGGACTTGGTCACAGTTTTTGTGATGCCATTAGACAACACATTATGCTTCCAATATCTTCCCAGGCGGTAGTACCTCCCTGTTTGGTAGTGAGAGACAGTGAGGAAGGCGATGAGAGATAATTAAAGTATAAAATATCAACCCTCTATTTCCTTCCCACACGTCCCAGTTCCTCTCACCCTCTACCCGCGCCCCACTACAGTCATCACTAGTCTACGTGTGCTAACTGTAGACCAGCAACGAGACTGTTCTACCTATCTTTTCTCATATAAATCCTAACCTAACCTAACCTGTTGTCAGTAATATGACCTCGTGTGAACTATACACATGTAACTGAAGAACGCTGTCCCTTTAATCTCTGCTCTGAGGATACATTAACTGATGTGCCGAAACATAATGTAACTGAATTAAACTAAACGACACTCAAGATGTTTGTGGTTTCCCAGGTGTACCGACGGATGGATAAACAGCAACATAATTATTTGGTGACACCTCGACAATATCTCTTGCCATCACCTGACCTAATTCTTCTTGCCTAAAACATGTAATAAAATGCCAAGCAAAACTCATAACACTAAACCTCTTGTGAGCTCATATTTACTCACCCGATTTTGTTTAGATAATGTTGTATATACAGTACGCTGGGTGACCACCACACAGCGTCCCAAGATAAAGGAAGAAGTTAGGTAAGATCTTTGGGTAATCGTTGTACACTTTTCAAACAAGATGTATCGACTAAAAAAGATCTCACACGAACATATTTCTTGCACATATCTGTAGTATAAGCTGACGAAGACCTCGGGAAAGTTTCTTTGTAATATTATAAATAAAATAACGACGAAGAAGGAAAAACAGATCCCCTGGTGGTCCTAAGAGCTGCCAGTACGTGGAGACCATCGTCAGCAATATCCGCCTACTACACCTTCAGGCAGAGCGGGGACTGAACCTCGTCTGTAAGAAGGACCCACACATTCATGTGATAAGCAAATTTTTGGATGGTGGTTCTCATTACTATAAGCTGGCCACCGGGGACATAACTAATGAGTGTCATCGTGTCAGAGTTTTAAGTTACTTTTGTCCGAAAGCCATTGCTTTTCTGAGATTACATGTAATGTAAATGGAAAAAAAGAAAATACGAAATCAGTGGAATATAATGGACTGATGCCTCGGTATTCCATCGTTCAAACATGCAGCTCACAAAAGGTTATTTGATACCAATCAACGCTGTCTGATCCATTAGGCTGGGAGGCAGGAATTAATGATTCTCCAAGTGGTGGATGATGGCTATACTGTAATTTAGTTCAGAAGCGTGTGGTGTAGCGTGGGGTGAGGATGACCACCATGGCCAACCAGAGCCACCATCAGCGTTGCCTTAAGCTCTGTGTCGACAGGGTAAGCTTAAGCGATGAAGAATACAGATCACTCGGTAATCCTTCACTTCTCAAGATGTGAAATACACGATAGCGCTTGGGACCTTCATGTTGTTTCCTTCAATGGTTATCAACTGGTTACTTCTTGACCTCTAAGTCTTCCTCATTCTCTGGTATAAATTCTTTAATTCATGTCATGGCTGAGTTTTTTTTTTCAGTTTCCTCTCCATTTTTTTTTCTCTAGCAATACTAAAAATAATGGCGTGTGTGTGTGTTGACAGTGGTGGCCGCATCTCTTCGTGCTGGGTAAGTCACCACCCTACCGTCTCGTTGGCCCAATGGTCGAGCTGATGAAGATAATGACTGACAAACTCAATTTCTGGTGAGTTGTAGTTCGTTCTTTGTGTGTTTGTCTTACCGTGTTGTGTGTGTTACCGTGTTGTGTGTGTTACCGTGTTGTGTGTTTTTCTTACCGTATTGTGTTTTTGTCTTAATTTAGTCAAAGTTTTTAATATCATTTGCTTCACGTTTTTGTCCGTAGATGTTGAGATAAACACCTAAATGTCTTGTTGTGGCGGTGACATTTGAGTTGGGAATCGTAAATCAGATCAGAATAGAAATGTAAATAAAAACTACGAAAATAAGTTGTAAAAATATTCAAAGTAATTAAGATTTTCTGTACCTTGAGGTTAGCGCCCATGTGTTCTGGTAAAGTGTCGCGAATATTAAGTTCATGGGGGCGACTGAGTCAGTGATGTTGACGCCGACATGTGTGTTTGTTGCAGCTCGGAATACATAGTGCCAGTGGACCGACAATTTGGCACCGAGTTAGAAAATGGCACCTGGACGGGCATGATGGGCCTCCTCCTTCGTAAGGTTTGTGTCAGGCTGTTGGACACCTTCCCTAACTTTCGCCGATTAAAATTTTAATATATTAATAATTGCGTAATATTGATGATTTGATAATTTCAAAGTAGTAAATACTTGTTTATTTATGTGCGTATATTTTATTGTGTAGTATTTATCACTGAGGAGCCATTAACACTCCTCGCCTTTGTTACACGATATTCATAATGTAACTGTTGAGAGCGGCCACCTCGAGGTTCACCTACAGGAGGTGGACATGTCCGGGGTGATCTTCACGGTGGGCGAAGAGCGTGCTAGGGTCATCGACTTCAGTGTTCCGCTTTATATGAACGAGCACGTCCTCTCATACAAGCGTCCTGACTTAACGCCCGACATCGCAGGGTTTGTGAAGCCTTATACAATAGAGGTCAGTATCAAGGTATTCATTAATAGATAAGTTATGAATAATTTTATGTATTAAATAAACACAGACAAACATACGAGTTATGTATGGGTAATGTGAACAAAAACAGGGTCAGAAACCAATTGTCCGGAGAGCTTCATTGTCTCCACACAGATTAATGTTTCTGACAATTACTCCTGCTATCATCCTTACAGCTGTGGAATGTGTTGCTGGTGACGCTGGTGGTGATATTCGGCAGCATCCTCTTCATCCACCAGGCTGAGCCCCGACCACCACGGTAAAGGACGTACAATACCTTTATGTCTCTGTTATTATTTTTATACAGACTTGACAACTTGCATAGCATAGACTGTCATTCTCCTTCTCCCATCACCACACACGGAGAGTCCTCGATATGCTAAACCAGGAATCTCTCTCAAAATGACACTTGAACTCGCGCTAATATATGAGCGCGGAGAAACGCTTGTGTGGGTATAAGGTGAAATTAGTGTGCCCGCTTTTTACCATCACTCTGAGAGACTTGCCAACCTCTCCTGGGCTTCGCAAATAAAATTAATTTCCATTGACTTTAAATAACGTTAGACAGTTGTTATAAAACTTTCATATTTCGCAAGATATCTATTTGTAATATTTCTTAGTACACACGATGGCACATTCCCCCCGTATAAGATAAACAGATAGATTGTTATGTGTGGATGACAATACCAGCCACTGTACAAGGAAGACGAGTCATACTGTACACGCTAACCAAGACAACTTACTAAAACCTTTCATATTTAATTTACTTTTCCCAAATAGAAAGTATTTTTAACTTTTAGAAACCTTCAGATGTAGGCTGCTAGTGTGAGATATATCAGAATTATCTTGTGTTGTTTAATTATATTTTGTATTGATTTAGAGAGAAAATTTATCTCCATAAACAAAAAATAAATGATTAAATACATTTACTCTGTCAACGCGGTGTAAAAGTAATGATAATTTACACTCCCCAGACGTGACCATCAGTAGTTATGATAGTCGTTAGGTATACTAAATAAACCATTTACAGTAAACCAGGAATATAAAACACATTAGAGGCTAACAGATAAGAGGTTCCCAGGGCAAGTTATATGAAAATCTAACGTGTTATTATTACAGTTTCTTCTGTTGTGTAAATCATCTTTTGTGTTTTTGTGGCGTCCTATACAACAGCTGCTGGGTTGTGTCACGCAAAATCGAGTTATATTTCTCATTATCTTTACCTATTGATGGACGAGTGTAATTACTAATCTTGTTGTGTTCTTGAAGACCATAGTTGTTGAAGCACCTTAATAATAACACTATAAGGTCAACGTCAGGCAAGGTCACCCCCAATGTGCTTTATATGTAACATTGTTCTATTCTCATACTCTTCTCTTGTCAATATGTGTCATTCATCCCTCTCGCTCGGTTCAGTCATCAGTCTTCTTTATTTATCTTATTAATCACAATTTGGCAGTAGGTCAGCGTGTGTGAGAGGCGCCAGGCGTGAGGGAGGGCGGCCCGGCAGCCAGAACAGCCGGATGTGGGCGTCCTGGCAGTGGACCATCTCTGTGCTCTTAGCGCAGTGTGAGTTACCTTTACATGAGTAAGCAAACACAGGCATACACCCTCAAAAACACACAGACACGCAGAGCCACAAAAAAACACAACTTATACACAAGCAAGATATTGAACAAATACTATACTACCAACAGAACTCCTTAACAAAACCTTCTTGTACAGCAGAAGTCACATCAACAAAGTCCAGCCAAAACTACTCTACTATCGTTAGGACAGGTTTATCAAGTTAGAAAACGCTCTGTATAGTTTGGTTCGTGTCGTCTGGCCAGATATGGTTGCAGGGAGGTGTTCGTGGTAGTCTTCAACAATGTAGTTACTGATGCAGCTTGTCCCTGGCTGCCGCGGCGGGACTCTCTCCGACTCATCACTGGTCTGTGGCTGACGATGGCTTTCGTTCTGGGCACCGTCTACCGCTCCAATCTGAAGGCCATGTTGATCCTACCTAAGTTACGGCGACCCTTTGACAACATGGAGGAGCTGATTGACGCTGGCATAACAACATTCATAGTATCCGGGAGCGCCTTGGAACAAGCAGTAATGGTAAGGGACAAAGGTTTATTTATTCATCTCACACCGTAGAGAGATAACAATACTATTACTTTATAACAAAACCCCATAGCATGACACTTTAAAACACCAGGTTGACCCCTTGAGTGTTATGAACGACTTTTAAGAATTTTATTCTAACCAATGCCAGACGATTATATTCACCTGCGGGTAACCCTTAGTAAGCAGAGTTAAGAAATTTTAGAACACTGTGTAGAGAACCTGAACGCATCCAGTAAGGCCGCTGGAAGGTACTGACTGGGGGAGGTGTGAGCACAGTACTCTTGTGGGAACCATTTCCGTGATTTTTAGAATTCTGGGGAAATTTTCTCATTTTTTCATTGGCATTTGTTTTTTGTATTTTGTACCTTGAACGGTTGTACCCACAAGCAAAATTATTCGAGGGGAGCCACCCTCCCAGTTCCCCCCTTCACGACGTCACTGCTGTATTATAACACCAAAACATAAACACTTTATTAAAAAAAAATAAAAAGAAACTTCACTATAAAACACCCGAATAAGATACTGTGTGATACATAGAATAATTTGTGTTAGAATTGTAATTATTCTGAAGTTTTAGTTAATTTGAATAGGAAAAAAACACAAACATAGAGTCAGTTAAGCGAAATGTATATATGTTACAATCAATGCTGCGATTTCGAACTGAAGATTCAAACCCGAATATTCTTACTAAATGTGAACAGTGTAAGGTTAAGTAAGTCTTCCAGTAATACTTATATTTTTTCTCGAAACTTAATTTTCTCTTTGTTATAATATTGTCAAAATACTATACATTCTCTAGCGCACCCCCTCCCTCCCTACAGATTAGTGCTATATGTACACTTACTATGATTGGACAGTGAATGATATTTTGGAAAGGACTTGACAGTGTTACGTCCCCAGGGCAGCGCTGTCGGCTCGGTGCTGCACAAGTTACAACAACAGGCCAACATACACATCAACGTAGCCAAGGCCGAACGTAACCTGGTGCAAGGAGTCGAGGCTGCTTTCCTTGACAAACACACAACTGTCTCTTTCATCCAACAAACTTACATGAAAGTAAGTATCGTCGGGTTTATTGCTTTAGCTTAAACAAAATCGTAATTTAGGTTAAGTTAGATTAAGTTAGGTGTAACATTTGTATTTGCAGAAGTATGATGATTCCTGAGATATTAACAATCGTGAGAGCATAAGTACATCATTAAACAGATTCCTCTTGCGGTGGCTGAGTGGATACAGAGATCATCCTCTTTCCTAAGGGTCGCTGGTCCAAACCCGAAACGGCCTCTCGAGTCACCTCAGAGCTTACTAACGAGGGTGACATCACGAATAATTCATATAATTGTGAGGTCACTGGATGATCGTCATACTCGACTCCAAGTGACAACCTAACCTAACCAGACAGACAAACACTATGAATTTTCTCAAGATTGTGATTTATTTTACAGGAGGGAAAGTGTTTACTCTACGTGGCCTCAGAGACCTACTTAGGCGCCACTAGCCTGAGCTTCGCCTTCCCTAAAGGATCGCCTCTTAAACACAAATTTGATCCAATGTGAGTCTTATTTATCCCCTGCAGTATGTCTTCCAGTAAACCATACTTGAGATATAAAGGAGATGAGGAAGATAAGGTGTAGTCTCGTGATTCATTAGTATTTTGACGAAGTTTTACGCATGAACAGAATTTTATCAGATGCTTTTGTTAGTTTTTATACTTCTATTACCTATGGAAAAATTCACTTAAGTTAGCCTAACCTAACCTCACGTCACCTAACCTTAAATCACTTCACCTCACGTCACGTCACATAACTTTAAATCACGTCACCTAACCTAACTTCACCTCACGTCACCTAACCTAACTTCACCTCAAGTCACCTAACCTAACTTCACCTCACGTCACCTAACCTAACTTCACCTCACGTCACCTAACCTAACTTCACCTCACGTCACCTAGCTATCTCATGAGGTGCAAACAACGACTTCAATAAAACAGGACATTTCCATCAAGTTGTAACAATAAAAGGAAAATATCATCTCTATTTTACAGCATAAGGAACCTGAAAGAGTTCGGTATCCTAGAGTACATGTTCCAGAGAGAAGTACAGAACGCTCAATACTGCCTCAAGCCAGAGTCCTTCAGTAAACCGAACAACAACCGCCGCTCACTTGATCTCGAGGACTTCTACGGAGTCTTTTTCGTTTACGGCGGAGGTGAGTGAAGGCCCGCGTGTAGGTTACGATTGATTGATTGAGGTAATTACATCCCTGGTGACGCAATAGCTTAGGTCATATGTAGCCGAATTAAATTTACGACTGACTTAGTATATTGGCCAAGTCATAGACGAGCTTGACGTATACTGTAAAAGACGGTAAATGTGAGTTGATATCAAGTAATGGGCAGAGTATGGGAACGTGGCAGATGTAAACAATGACATCATAGTTTGTTTACATTAGGGAAGTGTGGAGGGAAAAGAGCTGACTGCCTGACGCTGCTTTAGAATGACAAGGCTAATCCCGGGCATTAGGAACCTTCAGTACAGAGACAGGTTAAAGCATCTTAATTTGCACTCCCCGGAGAGACGTAGAGTGTGGGGCGATATGATAGAGGTGTATAAATGGAAGTCGGGGCTCAACAAAGGGGACATTACAAAGGTACTCAAACTTCCAACCAGGAGCGAACTCGTAACAATGGTTTTAAATTAGAAGAATTCAGATTTAGGCGCGAGATAGGTAAACATTGGTTTGGAAATAGAGTAGTGGACGAGTGGAACAAGTTACCAAATATCATCATTAACTCGAATACGCCGGATAGCTTTAAACATAGGTTGGATGGATATATGAGCAATAAGGGTTGGGTGTAAATGGGACTGCCCAGTATGAGCCAATAGGCCCGCTGCAGTTTCCTCCATTCTTATATTCTTGTCGTCCTTGGAGTTTGTCATCGTGGTTAATAGCTGTTTAGTTATGTCTTTCAAGGTACCATTCAGTGTTGTTCCTTCACAGGGATGGTGACTGCCGCTGGCGTGTTCCTTCTTGAACTGGCACTCGGATCTCACAAAGTTTGGTCAGCTCCTGAATCAACAAAATAGAGAGAGAGAGAGAGATCTGCCGTATAAGACCAAAATCTATAAAGAAAGAGCTACACTACCCACAATCTACTTGCTTTGTGAGTCCTGAAGCCAATGAGATGCTCTTCCATACAGTGTGTGTTGTCTTTTCCAGAACGTCGGTGTCCAGTGGTATATGGTAATAACATTAATGTGTTGATGTTATCGTATCCACATGGCTATCGAACATTACTGGAGTGGTTATTGTATGTCATCACCTAACACATTATCGCAATAAATGTATGCAAATATAGCTACTTATTTTTACTAAAGAGGATCAGAGACGCTGTGAAGCCAAGTAAGATAATAAATTAAAGTGGGTGAGGACGGCTCCTAGTGCAGCAAGACGAAGGTCATCCTCCACTATCTGAATAAAACATGAACACACGAGCGATAAGGTCTACTGCAAGGAATAAAGGCAGAGACCAAAGATAATGGTAGGGAGGTCTCTTCCTTGGTATAAAAGCTGTTGCACATTGCAAGATCTCCTTCCTGGTGTAGGGAGACGCCACAATTATGGGGGTCCCAACATTTTTATTTAAGAATACGACTATAATCTTATTCCAGGTGTTGTCGCTCCACCGTATAGTCACTACTGTCACTGTCACTTTGGTTTGGATCTTGGGAGACCTGGTTGGCGGTGTGACCAGGCGAGTTGGCAGTGGTATCAAGGCGGTGACAACCTTTCCGAGGAGGGTGGTGGCTCGTCGATATGCGTTTGTGTGAACCCTCGGGCCGATACCCAGCGGCGTCAGCACCACCAGTCGAGGAGACGGAGTGGAGTCCTTTGCGGGAGCAAGCGCCCTCGGTGTACGAATCGTAGGGGAGGGGGGTGGGAGGGAAGAGATATGGTGACAGAGATATAAACACGCAGGCGTATAAGGGGGGGGGGGAGGCGTGTGGAGTAGTAGTTCCCGGCCACAGTGTCCAGGGTGGCCGCGCCCCGCACACCGGCCTCGTGGTGGCCTCCCTCCCGTCTCCAGTGACCACACCTCAAGCACCTGTTGCAAGCTTGAACTCTCCACACTACAGCGACCCTCTGATACAAGCTTCCCCACAGTGATATTTATACTCCATAACGCCACTCTTGTACAACCTCGTCTCCCTAATACAGATGTACTTCATTATCTACGCGTAACCGAAACCTCGCGTGGAAACCATAAAACCAATTACCTTGTTTGACAGTTTCAGAATCGATTAACCAAAAACATTGAACCTTATAAGAATATCATAAGCCAATTATACCGGGAGTAGATTTTGTTACTAGTTAAACCCATTTCCACAGCTGCCATTAGTTACTGTTACATATTACAATAATCTAAAACAAAAAAAGTGACACTGAACACAATTAAACCTAAAACTGGAAAGAAAAGAAATAACCAGGTGATTGAACCATTAAAAACAGTGTAAATAATTGTGCCACTTGAAACAACACACACACTAACTCACAACATGGGACCGTCAACACAACAAAGGTAAGAAAAACTCGGATTAATCGAATATTAAACAACCTAACTTGTACCACCTTAAGATTACCCCCCCCCCCCCACGCCCAAGGTAGAGTCAGGGTGATTAATCTTCAGGTGACATAAAAGTGCTACAATTCGACACTCGGTAAAAACATATCCAACAAAGAGTTAAATATCTTCAGCATGTTTTAATTTTATACGTAGTTGTGATGACAAATTTCCTCGAACTGAAAATAAAAATAATTAGCACTACTGATTAAGAAGGTATTATCCTGTATCTTGTTTTATGTTATTTTTACAAGAAAAGGTATAGCAGTTGAAGAAATAGTCCTGTAATTGTATATAATATTAAGTATAATAAATTTACAATGGCTGCGAGTATTTCTCCTAAAGGGTGTTGCGTATTGTGTTGAGATATCCCCCTGGAGGCCGTCTTGCCAACTAATGATGGCGGGGGAGTCTAGGTTTAATGCTTACGAAGGAAATTAAACCCGTCTTAGTAGTCTATTTCCTGTCATAACAAACACCACGACAGTTTTTTCCCGTACTTTGTGATATGTATGCTGAAGAATTTGCAATCTTTACAATTATAACTGGTTTATTGCACCCAGCTACCAATCATTGACAATCATTTTAAGGTGATTCACTGAAGATTGTGCAGTTAGAGGGTAGGGATGTCATCAGGCCCGAGTGCTTGATGATAATTGAGAGGTTCAAGGTAACAGCAGGCGGCGGTCGTTACCAGGCACATTAAACTGCCTATAAAGAGCTGAGGTGCGCCACCACACACACGCGTCTACACCCTCTACACAAACACACACAAGTCTACACCCTCTACAGTCTACACGAACAAACAAACAAACACACAAACACATACACACTACTACTTTGCTGTCACTCGGAATTGAGCATGACGATCATCCAGCTATGATACAATAAAATGAGTTATTAGGAGATGTCACCTTGGTTTATGAGTTTTGAGGTGACTAAAGAGGCCGATACGGGACCTGCAGCGTCGTCCACATTCGTTGACATGTGGAGGACTCCATCTACTGCGGGAGAGGCGGTGGCAGCGTCTTTCCGGCGTTGGCGCTTGTCTGCCTCGGTTTGCAGTCGGGCTAACTCGAAAGCATTGACACCTACTCGTGCGGTGCTCCTACAAGCGTTACGATGTGGAGTAATCGACTCCCAGGTGAGGGGGTCGATTTGGCACTTTTTCAGGGTTTATCTTAAGACTATCCTTATACCTTTTCAATTGCCCGCCGGCGTTACATTTACTATTCGTTATGTGACTGCAAAGTAGCTGCTTTGGCAGTCTACTGTCGTCCATGCGGGTAACATGGCCAATCCAACGTAGTTGTTCATGGATAATGGTAGCCTCGATGCTCCTACAGTTGGTGTCAGCGAGAATACTGGCAATTGTTCTCTTGTCTTCCCAGCGAACTCGGAGGATGGAACGTAGACTACTTTGGTGAAAGTTTTCAAGTGCCTTGAGGTGCCTCCTGTATGTGACCCGTCTCACTGCCGTATAGCAGGGTGGGGAGGACCACTGCTCGATATACGTGCAGTTTTGTAGATAATTTCAGCTCCCTACAGCTGAAGACACGATTTCGGAGTCTGCCAAAGGCTTGAGATGCACATCTGATCCGATGCTGAATCTCTTCATCGATGTCCGCGGTGGTGGACAGGTGGGAGCCGAGATAACGAAAGTGAGCAACATTAGAGAGGGCAGTACCGTTAAGCTGGATGGATGGTGGAGGTGTGTCTGAACCAGGGGCAGGTTGAAAGAGAATCTGAGTCTTACGTACATTCACCTCAAGGCAAAAGTGTGCATACGCGTCAGCGTGGGTGTTCAGGATCTCCTGTAGGTCGTGTTCAGTGTGAGCAACAAGCGTAAGGTCGTCTGCATACTGAAGTTCAGTAATGGAAGCTGCCGACACCTTTGTTCTTGCCTGGAGTCGTCTTATGTTGAAAAGACCCCCCTTCACCCGGTACTTGATGTTCACCACGCTAGCTAAATTGGCACTGGCATAAGTAAGGAAGGTAGCCAAGAAGATGGAGAAGAGAATTGGTGCCAGTACACACCCTTGTTTAACCCCCGTTTGGATGGGGAAGAACTCAGACTGGGTGCCGTTGTGCAGGACACTGCCGTTCATGCCATCGTGGAGTTGCCTCACAATGGCGATGAATTTTGGTGGGCAGCCAAAACGGCTGAGGGTCCATCAGAGGGCTTCCCAGTCAGGTTGGGTCTTTAGGCAGGCTATGTTTAGGGCACCTTTTCTAGTCCCCTCCCCATGTGGGGTGAGCAAAGAGGCTCCCCGAAAGGGCTGCTCAGTCGCACAGACAGGATCGGATTGCACTGCTGCCTAGACCTCAGTCTACGAAGACTGGGGTCTACCAGAACTAGGGTCTACCAGCAGTGGGGTCTACCAGAACTGGGTTCCACCGTAACTGGGGGTTTACCAGAACTGGGAGTCCACCAGAACTGGGGTCTACGAGGACTGGGGTCTACGGGGACTGGGGCCTACGAGGACTGGGGTCTACCAGAACTGGGGTCTACAAGAATTGGGGTCTACAAGAATTGGGGTCTACCAGAACTGGGGTCTACCAGAACTGAGTCCACCAGAACTGGGGGAGACTGGGGTCTCTAGGGTCTACCAGCAGTGGGGTCTACCAGAACTGGGTTCCACCGTAACTGGGGGTTTACCAGAACTGGGAGTCCACCAGAACTGGGGTCTACGAGGACTGGGGTCTACGGGGACTGGGGCCTACGAGGACTGGGGTCTACCAGAACTGGGGTCTACAAGAATTGGGGTCTACAAGAATTGGGGTCTACCAGAACTGGGGTCTACCAGAACTAAGCACACACACACACACACACACACACACACACACACACAGCCGTCACCAAGACGCGCCGGTTAGTCTCTTGGGTATTTCAATAAAGGATCAGTGTTGTCTGCTGTCTCATACAAGATCTTCCTCCAAACCATAACAAGGTGTAAATATGCCTGTATGTCTTATGTTAGTAAGCATCTGTATGCCTTGTTATATGCCTGTATGTCGTATGTTAGTAAGCATCTGTATGCATTGTTATATGCCTGTATGCCCTATGTTACATGCTACGTAACAGAGAGAGAGAGAGAGAGTAAATGTGTGACTAACGCTCCGGGCTTCCCTGAACGTTGAGACATTACAAATCTTGACACCGGAATGGACAGGAGGCAGCTAATAAACCAAACTAAACCGAATTACACATAAGGACGCTTAATGGAACCTAACATACAGGGTGTCCATAAGAGATTACCCTGATTAAAGCAGGGCCTACCACAAAAGTTTAGCGAGAGAGAGAGATTCTTATCCACCATCGCGGAGACGGAACACCCGCCAATTAGCCTGTAGGTGTGGCACTACACGAATGACGCACATGTGTGGGTGTGGTGATGACTATCAAACACGCACGCACATACATACACGCCTAACGTACACATGTGCGTGAGAGCTAAGGCTAATCTTGGTAATTACTGCAAAATGAGGCCACCTTTGGTCTAGCCTAAAGGTCTACAGTGACCGGTGTTCACAGGTTCACGGTTAATTTTGACGTGAGGATTACAGGCAGCAGAGAAAACTTGTGAGGGAGACAATAATGTAATCTTCTATTCTCGTGTTAACCACCTGAGCGTGTGTCTGTCTGTTCTCTGCAGCCAACAGTTTGATGGGGACTATAAAGGCACCATGCATAACACCCCAGCATGTGTCATTATGTCGTTGATGATGACTGTCATTACTACTAGACCACCCGCCAGCTGTACGGCCGGTTGGTGACGCAGTTGTTAGGTTTAATTCATTCGTATATTAGAGTTACTTACTGTGCTATTGGTGTCTGTAAAAACACCGCTGGGGAGTGATCAAGTTTCTTACTTTCGTTTACCAGCAACACTACCACACAAGGGCGAGAAAATATTTACTTTGTGTCAGAGTCCACATACAAGATCATTAACAATGTTTAGAGGCGATAATTATGACACCATGTTTACCTCCGAGTGTTTTCCTCTTGTAGGTAATTAGTCTTTGAAAATTATATCACACAAATCACCGAGTTAAGAGGGCCGTTAGTACATGTATACCTACAAATAACTTTGATTAATTGTGATGGCTGACATTCCTTTTATCGGTACTAATTTGGGCTTTATCTTACAGTATAAACACATTAAAACTGCAGTTATTATTAATTGATCCGTGTGTGGGGCGCCACTTATGGACGTTATATTTTTTGCATTCCAAGATGGATTAAAATGCAGTTAAAACACGCAACAAAGCAGAAGCTTCCCTTCAAAACAAATTGTCTGCATTATCAACAGTGCAGTATGATGACAGCACAGTTTCAAGACAGATATACAGTAGTGTACTTTATTTATATAGTCATTCAAACTAAAAAAACTTATCGTTTATTTTAAGAATACCGTCAGCTGTGTAACATGACACCTGTTGAGTGGGTGCCACCACCCTGAGTCTCGGCCACGAGCTGACAACAGTAAAAAGTTCACAGTGTCTGGACAACAAACGCTTACCCACTTGTTGCTGTGTATTGACCTCTTGTTTCATTGATCTTGTGCTGTTCAGTCTAGTCTTACCACCATACCTGCCTACTCACTTCGTCTAGACAGTACAAAATCCACCAGCTGCTCACTCAAATGTTTCAAAAACGATAAAGTTATAATGAAGAACAGCCGCCCAAGAAGTAAGTTAAAAGCCATAATGAATACCACTACAGACTTGGGTGAGACCTCACAGGGCGTACTAACCGTCAGTCATCATCACAAGGACAAACTAGGGCGTGAACCAGGTAGTAACAACAGACTACGGGGCCGGGTGGCAGGAAGAGCTCCATAGGCTATGCCAGACTGTCACTCCCCATTGGAGTATATCATGGTGAGAGGTGCCTAGATTAATTTGTTATTGTCGCGCCGCCTGAGTGGAAAATGGGAGGTTCCCCTGAAGGCTTTTAGCTCAAATTACAAAACCATTACTTAGTCCATAAACTGCACGTGATAATATTATTTAATGGCGGTGGAGGCTTGGGTGAGGGGCAGCTAGTCCAGAGGCTGTGTAAATCAAATATAAGACATTTGTACATCACAGCAAACAGTAATTCATGCAGTCGTTTTCAATAGTTCTTGATCAACACCTTTCCCGACAGAGCAACATATTTATAAAAGATAAGATACATAGAAATATTAAAAAGCGTAACATTTCGCATCAAGATAAAATAAAATAAAAAAAAAAGTAAATAAACAAGAAATAAAACAAATTATCAACGTCCAGAATTTTTACCCCGTGTTCACAGCTCATCACGGCGCCTTGTTGTCCCAGCAGTCATTATTACCTGGCTTAAGTGTTCTACTGATTAATCTCTTCCTCTCAGGCGACTCTTCTACATAAAGGCAAATGTTAATAAACTTAGACGATTAACATTTTGTTGTCATACATACATACATACAGTACATACATACTTAATGAGTCAACATAGTTTTCAGGTACGCAGGACATCACCCCCCTCCCACCACCACAAGCTACCTCTCCACTATAACACAATTACTTCCAGGTACCTTAGTCATAACAAACATCCACTAACTTAACTGCTTATAAAACAAACTTCAAATATAACACTGAAAACAAACATTGTATAGACATAACAAGTATCTCTATGTGTTTCTATAAAATTCTCTACACCGCCTCCTCTTTACGCAGAAAATTAACTCCAGATAAATGCCATCCTTGGGTTAAAAGACAAAAAGGAAGGAATTCAATATTTTATCGATCTCACCTAACGTAAAATACAATTCATATCAAATTACGAAATACGTCAACATTTACACTTCACGAATACTTGTGTCTGGAGTCTCAATGTGATGTGGTAAAGAGACAGTTGGTGGAGGTGAGAATATATTTCGTTAAAGGGGAAAATTACGTAGAGGGATATTTTTGGGCGGGAATATATCGGTGACGTCAGACAATAACACCCACCCACCCACCCACCCGCATCACCCAGCTGTCCCCCACGACCCCGCCCCACTGACGCCCTCACTCACTCATCTCATTTCTTCGCATGAACACTTCTGTATAACTCACACCTTCGCTCGTATTCCCACAGTTGTATACAAAATTGCATACTACACGATGACATATTGCTGTACGGGTATATGTCACTGTTTTCATGATGTATTGTCATAGCTCATTAGGCCGTTAAAGTACTGCCCCTGTTACTGTTATGTAGTTAATTCAAAGTAGCATGGTCATCAGTTTGAACCACCAACATTCATCAGTTTGAACCACCAACATTCATCAGTTTGAACCACCAACATTCATCAGTTTGAACCACCAACATTCACCAGTTTGAACCACCAACATTCATCAGTTTGAACCACCAACATTCACCAGTTTGAACCACCAACATTCACCAGTTTGAACCACCAACATTCACCAGTTTGAACCACCAACATTCACCAGTTTGAACCACCAACATTCATCAGTTTGAGCCACCAACATTCATCAGTTTGAACCACCAACATTCACCAGTTTGAACCACCAACATTCACCAGTTTGAACCACCAACATTCATCAGTTTGAGCCACCAACATTCACCAGTTTGAACCACCAACATTCACCAGTTTGAACCACCAACATTCACCAGTTTGAACCACCAACATTCATCAGTTTGAACCACCAACATTCATCAGTTTGAGCCACCAACATTCATCAGTTTGAACCACCAACATTCACCAGTTTGAACCGCCAACATTCTACCACCATTATAAGTGAGAGATAATATCCCCTGAGGTCAGCGCTATTTTGTGTAATATACAATTCCGTTAATTTCTTTTGTCTCGGTAATTACTTCTGGCTATTACCTGACTCACCTTCTCTATGCCCTTGTGGTCCTCAAATGCCGCTACTTGCTTTACTTAAGTTAATAAAATCCCATTACACATTTTATTTTCAATTAAAAAACACTGGATTTTTTTCCATTGACAATAAAAAACCTATCGATTTTTTCACATTTCACCAGATTTTTTTAATTGATAAAATCCCATTTGAGTTTTGTTCAATAAATAAAATCCTAAGAAAATGTCTACACACGATTCCCTGCTGAACAAAATCCCGTTAATAAAGTGATTTGACAAAACCCAACAGACGTTATTTCCACAGAGGAAAATCCAACCAAAACGATAATAAAACCAGCAATCTCGTCAGCTCCAGGATTTTCTTTATATAATGTTCCTCGGGTTTTGGTTGGAGATGAATTTGTCCAACCAAACAAAAAAATATTCACACCAAAATGTTACCAGAGCTTCCGTCAACCTTGTCTAGGCAGGAACAAACACTGACACCCAATCCTTCCCTCGCCACCCAGGAGTGAGCTGGGCGTGACCTACAAAGTTTTCAATATCAAGAGGCAACTGTCACTTATTTCTGTACAAAGAGGACTCTACATATAGATACCATGGAAAGTTACTCTCTCTCTCTCTCTCTCTCTCTGATAAAAAAAGTTTTCTCTCTGTGGTAAAAGTTGAGACAAACACAAGACATAATCGCTGTCTCCTGTGACCACCATCTCTCCTCTCTACCTCTCTTCCCCGCCCTTCTGCTCCTTCCCCCGCACAACTCTCTCTGCTCAATTCAAGATGGAACGAGTAACACGAACGCTTAGGTTCATTTCATGGAACATCCGGAGTGTTAACCGCAGAATTAATGACCTACAATGGTTTGTTAAAGTTTTTAACATTGATGTAATTGGTTTACAAGAGCCTTACACGTCCAGCACCCAGA